GCAAGAGCCCTCTCTACCGTTACGGTTTATCCTCAATTTCTGCATGCCATGTGGGGATTGACAGAAATACTATAGGTAAACACCCGCTTGTATGCAGGTTTGTGAGGGGTGTACGGCGTGTGAACAGGGTTTCAAAGCCACTGATTCCACTGTGGGATCGGTCTGTGGTCCTTAACACACTCTCTCAGCTTCCTTTTGAGCCGATAGATAATATTGATTTAAAGCTCCTTTCACTAAAGTTTGCTTTGTTGTTAGCTTTTTCGGCCGCGAAACGAGTTAGTGACCTTCATGCTTTGTCGGTTCATAACCTGTATGCTGTTTTCTATGGATTTCTCGCGAGTAACTCTCAAAACTAATCCAGCATTTGTGCCTAAAGTGAGCGAGTCAGCTTTGGCCTGTAGACCGGGGGATTTAATGGCTTGTCATCCGCTGCCTTTTTCCTCATTGGAAGAAGACTGGCTTCATTGTTTGTGCCCTGACCGTGCGTTGCGTCATTATGTGGACAGGACGAAGGGATTAAGAAGTATTCAGTTATTTGTCTCATGGGCTGATTTTTATATGGGTAAACCTATTTCTCGTCAGCGCCTGTCCCACTGGGTAGTAGAAGCTATTGTATTGGGCTATATTAGCATGGGTCTTAGTCCTCCAGAAGGGCTGAGGGCGCATAGTACCAGAGGTTTGGCCACCTCGTGGGCATTGTTTAAAGGCCCCGATATACTTCAAGCGAAATCAAAGAACGAACTGATGTGACGTCATTTTGAACAAAATCCGGCCAAAACAAAATTCGTTTTTGTGTTTGTTTTGGGAGTTCGAAACGGCTTGCCAAAGCGAACTTTCCGGAAAAGTTATTTCCGGCTGCAAAACTCCTTCGTACTACCATTGGTCCATGACGATTACGTCATAGGAGGTGTGAGCTGAGGCTCCGCTTTCTTTCACACGGAACTCTTCTCTGGGTTAATTTCGTTTGTCGAGTCCTTGGAGGTGAGATGTCCGCGCAGTGGAGAGCCGCTTTATAGTAGAAAATTAAGTTTTGCTTTTGATGAAATTAGACACTGACACTGTTTTTCATGTTTAATATGGCTACTTGCTTTTAAGCAATAAATTGAATAAAGTGCCATGTAAATACATGTGCCGTGACTTCACAGGAGTGCTAAATTGCAGAGCTCGTGTAAGCATACCCATGATGCTATGAACAGATGCTCTTTTTTTGTTTGTTTTTTTATAAAAAAATGCTTGCTGTTCTCTCCATTTTTGTTGTTTATTTTGTTACTGAGAGTAAAGCTCGCAGAACATATTTACATACATAAACGTTGCTTTCATCAGAGTGGGCGGCGTCGGGATGTTCGATAACAGTATATCGCTGCTCAGTGCTCACGTATTTCGAACTTCGTTTTACCCCTAAATGAAGAACGAAAAATAACTTTGTTTTGAGTATATCGGGGCCTTAAGGGCGTTTCAATACAAGACATTTGTGCTGCGGCTATCTGGGCTTTGCCACACACTTGTGTCAGATTTTATAGGCTGGATGTTACAGAGCCTTGGATGGCTCATTCTGTCCTAAGTGTGTAACAAAAACAAACAAACGCTCATACAGAGGATGCTTTTGCTTTTCACATGTCTCCGATCTATTCTGTGAATAGTGGAGGGCTTGTGTTTTTATGTTATCACACATCACTGAGTTGGTTGACATGCCTGCTTCGAACAGCATATCTGCAATACAGGAGTTGTTAATATCCCATAGTGAGATACCAAACGAATGTTTGAAAGAGAACTTTAGGTTACTTTTGTAACCCCGGTTCTCTGATAACAGGAGTGAGGTACAGTATCTCACCACACTTGCCTCCGTGCAGCAGCACGGAGAAGAGATATGCTGAGAATGATGTAGGGATTTAGCAGCGATATATATATGAGGGAGGCCGGACTCGCGCATCACTGTCTTGATTGGTCTGTAAACTGACAGACGTGGTGTAATTGGTGCTTCCAGGATTGGTCACGCCCGAGGCGATTCCCATAGAATCAGAATCAGAATGAGCTTTATTGCCAGGTATGTTTACACATACGAGGAATTTGTTTTCGTGACAGAAGCTTCGTTAATATCCCATAGTGAGATACCAAACGAATGTTTGAAAGAGAACTTTAGGTTACTTTTGTAACCCCGGTTCTCTGATAACAGGAGTGAGGTACAGTATCTCACCACACTTGCCTCCGTGCAGCAGCACGGAGAAGAGATATGCTGAGAATGATGTAGGGATTTAGCAGCGATATATATATGAGGGAGGCCGGACTCGCGCATCACTGTCTTGATTGGTCTGTAAACTGACAGACGTGGTGTAATTGGTGCTTCCAGGATTGGTCACGCCCGAGGCGATTTCCATAGTGAGATACTTCACTCCTGTTATCAGAGAACCGGGGTTACGAAAGTAACCTAAAGTTCTCTTTCAAACATTCGTTTGGTATCTCACTATGGAATGTATAGTTGTGTATAGCAAGGTTATTATAGTTTTGAATTTTTAAATTAGTTTTATTTTAATATCGTTTTCAAATTTGCTATACAATTCAGTTTAATTTTTATTAGTTTCATTAATATTGTTGTTAGTTTTAGTTTAGTTTTTATTTTGTGAACACATTTTTATTTAGTTTTTATATAGTTTAGTTTCAGTTTTCGTTTCCGTTTTAATTAAAGGTTAGCAGAATTAACAGATCACTTCCAGAGCGCAGGCCAAAGAAAGACTTAGGCATAATTTAGCCTTAGTG